GTAAAGATTTGCAGCTGTTTTGCCGTTTTTCACATAAATCTTTGTCTTTTTTGTGACTGTGTCAGTTTAGTGGAGCTGAAGATCAGCTTTATAGAATGCCCAAGCGTTGTCCACAGCAACAGTAACTATGATGACATCCCCATCGGTGTCCATGGAGGATTACCAAGAGGCTGAGCAGGTTTGTGTTGCCAAAGAGCTCTTCATACAGCCAATGGAGTACCGTTTTTGTTTTGCGTGAGTGTGTTCAATTGCCCTTTTAAATAAAGCATTAATCATCTTTATATTGCAATAACAATTCAATAAACGCTTTATAAACATGCAAGTATGACATCTCACAATCTTGATGATGATTGATTGATGTCTTGTGAATTCTGGGAAGTTTGATCTCTGCGGCATCGGATGGAGAGATAGAGAGACTCGAGACTAACCCGAGATTTTCCAGCAGTCGTGAAATATTTTTAACATTTCCCCCTTTTCAATCAACACTATTGTTGCACTCCGTCACATGCACTCAATCATGTGGGCCTGTCCCAACTATAAAGTACAAAGAAAAAAACTGTATGAATGAGAAAAGAAACCAAAAGAACTGTGGGTTCTTGGCTTACTGTATATATTTTGATGTCCAAATAGATTATTACACAAGACATCTGCATATCTTGCATGTTGAGTCACTCAGTGTGCTGGTATCTCTGTATTTACACTGTTTTTCTGCTAAATAGTCTGAAACTAATGTGAAAAACCACTGTTAAATCTGTGAAAGCTTTCTAAATCTGACAGAAAAAGATAGAGTAGTCTTAAGGACTGAGAGAGAAGCCCCTTTGTAAAAAATGAGGTTTTGTTACATGCTTTGAAACCCCATGTCAGCCCTTAGGGTCTGTGACAGAGAGACTGTGTTTCTCAGAGCGGCCCACACACGGACGTTACCGCCCGCAGACATGCCAGCTGACACTGCTAACTTCCACATACCTCACACATCTTCATTCTCTGCCCCTCTGTGCTCCGTGCAGATGCAAGTGGGAGAGCAGACGGCGGGACAAGTGGAGGAGAGGTTGGAGGAAGAGGAGGAGAGAGAGGAAGAGGAGAGCAGCTCAGCACCGTCTGAGCCACAAACTCCTATGGAGGTCGACAAGACGGCCATTTACAGGTAGCTTCTTTTCTTTGTTCTTGTGACGTGTTTCTGAAAAAGCGCAGTTGACTGCGTTTTTGGTTTGATGTGTAAATGATGTGTTTGTTGACTGTCAGACACCCCTTGTTCCCCCTGCTGGCGCTGCTCTTTGAGAAATGCGAGCAATCCACTCAGAGCTCGGAGTGCGTGACCTCGGCCAGCTTCGATGTGGATATCGAGAACTTTGTGCGAAACCAGGAGAAAGAAGGCAAGGCTTTCTTCAGTGAGGACCCCGATTTGGACAATCTGGTAAGAATCACCCGTTAAACTGAAGTTTTTGGTGTTTACACTACTGTTAAAAAAATTGTAAATTAAAAAAAAAAATCTTTATAAAAGAATGCTGACCAAGGCTGCATTTTTGATCGAATAACACAATGTAAATAACTTTTTTTCTATTTGAATATATATTGAAATGTATTCCTGTGATGCAAAGCTGAATTTCCAGCATCATTACTTCAGTCTTCAGTGTCACATGATTCTTCAGAAATCATTCTGATATGCTGATTTGCTGCTCAAGAAACGTATTATTATCAATGTTCAAAACGGTCGCTGCTTAATATTTTTGTATGCATGATAATTTTTTTCAGAATTCTTTGATGAATAGAATTACAGCATCTATTTAAAAACAGAAATACTTTTAACAAAAAAAAGTCTGGTCAATTTAATGTATCCTTTCTGAAATTATTCATTTATTTCAGAAATAAAATAATTTTACTGAGACCAAGCTTTTGTATAGTAGTGTATATTAAACACAAAGAAGATTTGTTTAATATAAAAACTTTGTTCTTTGTTAATAATTTATTTTAATGTAATAACCTAATAAGTAATAATTTATCTAATTTAATTAAACAATTTATTTGAAAAAGGAATCTTATATAAATGTACCAGCCGTAACATTATAAATGTCTTTACTGTCACCTTTGTTCAATATAATGCATCATTGCTGAATATAACTCTTAATTTAAAAAATAAAAATAAACAATTCTGACCCCAAACTTTTGATCAGCAGTGTACATTCAGTAATGCATGATATATAACAGTCATGATATATATCAGTCAATATTAAAGATTTAATCGGCATCAGTTGATATGGATATTTAATTGTGCATGCTATTTTTACATTTTGATTAACTTTACCATCATCTAACACTCACTTTGTTAAAGGTAGGGTATGTGATTTTTCAAAAACACTTTAGAAAACTGATTCGAATATCAACATTGGCTACCAGAAATCGCTTACCCTGCCTTTAATCTTTAAAAACACCAATAATTTAATAACACTTTAATGAAATCTTTAGCAAATCTCAAAATGAACTTCTATTTTTATGCTTTACATTATAGTATTGTGATGTTTAAATTCACTTTATAGCATCTAAAATAACTAGTTTTAGTTTTTAGTGCTTATTACCCTTATTGTATTGGCCATAACTGGTGAAGCAGCGTTAGGTTGCTGCCTAATCAACTACCCAACATGAGGATCTAAAACATTATAATAATAAATATTTTAATTTTAGCACATGCATTTGAGCGTCCATCTCAGTCTACATGATTGGTGAGGAAGTGAAAGGTTTGGTTTTAGGGTGTCATACAGTGGGCTGGATTCAGGGTTCATTTTAATGCCCATGCAGACCTCTAACAGTTCATTAAGTTCAGTTGATCTTCTGATGACTGTACTGTGCTTTCTAATCGAACTCAGATGGTGAAGGCCATCCAGGTGTTACGGATCCACCTGCTGGAGCTGGAGAAGGTGAATGACCTGTGTAAAGATTTCTGCAGCCGCTACATCGCCTGCCTCAAGACCAAGATGAACAGCGAGACGCTGCTCAGTGGAGAGCCAGGAAGCCCGTACTCCCCAACACAGACACAGGTACGCTCAAAAACACTGTAGAAATCTGTCTCCATCTCCGCTCAGGAAATAACCGCTCTGCACATGTTCTCCTCACAGCCGCTGAGCTCGTTCTCTGGAGCCATGAGTCCCCAAGGTATTGTAGTGCCAGCGTCGGCTTTACAGCAAGGCAACGTTACCGTCACAGCCATAAACCCCACACAGGTGCTAACAGGTTTGTTGATTGTTTTACTCCTGCTCTCTGATTCGGTTTTCTTCCTCGTTCTCTCATTTCGTCGTATATTGACTGTGTGAGCGTGTTTGTTTTAACCCAGGTGGTACAGTGTATCAGCCTGTTACAGTTGTTACTCCACAGGGGCAGGTGGTCACACAGACTCTGTCACCTGGAACAATACGCATCCAGAACTCACAGGTGAGACGCCGTCAACAAATACGCTCATTTCATGCAGCATTCAGAGTTTTTCTGGTGTGCTGATTGTCAACAGCACATCTTCATAATCTATTACAATACGAATGGCATTAGCACACACATACACACACACACACACACACACTCCTGACAGCCACGTCTGTATTTCCCACAGCTTCAGCTGCAGTTGAACCAGGATCTAAACTTTTTCAGTCAGGAGGACAATTCGTCTAAGGCCAAGAGAGGCATCCTTCCCAAACATGCCACCAATGTCATGCGTTCTTGGCTCTTCCAGCACATCGGTGTAAGTTTTTTCTGTCCTTCACTGTTTTATAGTGTTCACAGAAAGAGTGTTTGATCACAAACGATGTTTCACTATTCACACCAAGTCTCAGAGCCCTCTTATTCTTTTAACCCCAGCTTAATCGCCTTACTTTTTTTTTTTAAAAATGAGTTGCAAACAGCATTTCATGTTCACTTCAGTGAAAAATACAGTACAGCCAATATCTCAAATGTAGTGGATAAATTGACAATCGCCTGGATTGGGGTAGTAAAAGTAATGTATAATAGGAATATTTTGTGGTAAAGTCATAATATGATTGGTCTGCTGTTATCAGTAATAATAAAAATAATAATTATTATATTTTATTAATAATTATTATAATAGTAAATAATAAAAATTTTCCTAAGTAGGTATAATGGATGTACATTACTATTTAAGTTTCGGGTTGCTAAGACGGCTCTTATGCGCACTAAGGTGGTATTTATTTAATAGAAAATACAGTCAAAATGGTAAAATTGTTAAATGTTATTACAAATTAAAACACCTGTTTTCTATTTGAATATATTGTAAAATGTAATTTATTCCTGTGATGTAAAGCTGGATTTTCAGCATCATTACTCGAGTCTTCAGTGTCACATGATCTTTTAGAAATTATTCTAATATGCTGATTTACTGTTCAAGCAACATTTCATTATTGTTGAGAAACATTTTTTCAGGATTCTTTGAAGAATTAAGTATAAAAAAAATTACATCAAAGCATTTATTTAAAATAAAATAAAAAAAACATTGTAAATGCTTGTCACTTTTGGTCATTAAGTATTAATAAAGATTTTTTAAATGTAAAAACTTTTGTTCTTTGTAAATAATTGAATAATCTTTATTTAATATCTTAATTTAATTGAAAACCATTTTAGTTGTAGTGCTGTTAATTGAATCTGCTGAAATATAATGAAAACTTCTTATCAGACCACAGAGCTACTCTGAGGAAAACGTTCTGACAGCTTGAATTGATGTATAGATGAATTAAAAAATGAAAATAGAAATGTATAGAAAAGAAATAGAAATGTATAGATGAATTAAGTGAGCTGGTAGGTGTTGATGGCACACATGTTTGCTTTCACTCTCACAAATACCAGCTGCTCATGTGACTAAGCGTCTGGAGAGAGCGCTGATCGCTGAAGAGCCCTGCGGGGAGGTTTTCTGTCAGGCGTCTGTTTAGACGGGCGGCCCACAGAGACACATTGTTCTAATGAAGCGGAGAAAGACAAAGTTAACATATAGAGAGTTCAAAGATAGAGACACTAACCAACAGAGAGAATTATTCCCCCCCCCCCAGCCCCCTTCCCCTACAGAAAATGAGAAGAAACAGATCGCCCTGCAGACCAACCTCACCCTGCTGCAGGTTAACAACTGGTGAGTTATCAGACGTTGATACATACTGTATGCAGGTCAGTGTAGTCGTCTGGATCGCCTCTGACTGACTCGATGTCTTCAGGTTTATTAACGCACGCCGACGGATCCTTCAGCCCATGCTGGACGCCAGCTCCTCGGACACACCTAAGAGCAAAAAGAAGACGCCCCAAACGCGCCCCCTACAACGCTTCTGGCCCAACTCCCTCGCCTCCTCTGTGTCCCAGCAACAGGTCACCATGGAAGACGGTACGGCCCATGAGACATCATAGATTAAGCAACACAGAATATGAGTTTAGTTTGAGGCGCAGTGGTACATTTTAAGATATAGAAGGGGCGTGCAAAACTCCAACTGTTGATAGGATGGTTGCCAGGGCATTGCTGTGTGGTTTCTGTGGTGTTCTGAGTGGTTTATAGCACATTGCTGTATGGTTGCTCTGATAATCTAATGCTTACTAAAGCAGACCTGACTGATTACATGGGTCCATTTTCTAGTCAATTATTCAAAAATACATTAAAAAGCAATTCAGACATAGAATGACTTGAATACACCTCTTTTATGATTAGTATATTTTTAATTTAAATAAAATTAATTTTGATCTTGTTGGAGAGTATAAAATAAAACATGTCATGACAATTGTTCTGACATCATAATGAAGAATTTTTTTTATTATTAAACAACCGAAATTCTTGAATATTTATTTATTTGATTATTATTAATAATAACCAAAATAACATTAGTAGTAGTAAAATAATATTTTAACAAAACAATTTGTCTGCCAAAAGTCATGTGGTGTGACCACCATGTAGAAATAAGTTTATATATATTTTTTTTTTAAGTATAAAAAAATATATATATAAAATAATATAAACAATTTAATGGTATTTATGGATGCATAATTTATGATTTTTGTAATTATTTTAATGTAATAAACATTTTATGTCTTAATTAAATATAATTTCCTGTTTAACTATAAATTATTTTAATTCTTATTATGTTATCTGTTTAATTAATTTTTAATTGAATACATAAATATGTTATGACATTTATGGAAGAATAATTAATGATATGTATAATCTTTGAATTTAATAATCATTTTATTTTTATTTAATTTGATTTCTTAATTCAACTGAAAAATAATTGAATTTGTAATGCTGCTTTAGTTAAAAACATTTTCATTGAATATAATATACATATATAAATATTTAATGATATAGTGTGTATGGATTAATAATTCATGAATTTAGTAATTATCTTCGGTTAATAATCTTTTTTTTGTTTTTTGTTTAAAAAAAACAAAATTGATTGTAATGCTGCTAACAAGTTAATTTAATTGACAACATCCAGATCTGTAGAGACTGAATCTAGTAAAATACAAGAAAAGCGTCACATTATCAAGCTAAGAAAAAAATGTTCTGACAGGTTGAATTAATGTAGTTTTTGTTTGTTAAAACTGATTAATCATTGATGATTATTAACTAGTGCTGTCAAACGATTAATCGCAATTAATCGCATCCAAAATAAAAGTTTTTGTTTACATAGTATATGTGTGTGCACTGTGTATATTTATTATGTATATATAAATGCACACACATACAGTGTATATTTTGAAAATATATACATGTATATATTTATATTAATATAACTTATAGTTTATATGAATGTATTTATTATATTAACATATATTTCTTAAATATATACATGCATGTGTGTGTATTTAGATATACATAATAAATATGTTACGTAAATTTTGGATGTGATTAATCGCGATTAATCGCTTGACAGCGCTATTAATAACTCATGAGACTTTAATCGTTTTTGCAAAAATAATGATTAAGTGCTATAATTTAATTGCCAATGTTTAGCAGTTTTATGAAGATTCGAAGCGTTTTGTTTGTCATACTCAGGTACTACGGTAACAGTCGGTGTGGGTGAGGACGGCCTACAGACGCTCTCATCAGATGGAGCTACGCTGGCCATGCAGCAGGTCCTGATGGGAGGTCACAGCGAGGAGGATGATGACGAAGAGGACGAAGAGGACGAGGACAATGATCCTTCCCACTCCGACATGACCAGGCTGGGCCTGGAGACCAGCGACTCGCTGTAGTAGGACTGAACGACACACACACACACACACACACACACACTCACACACAGTTAGTATAGAGAGAGACATTTAAGGCGCATCAGAGCACTAAGAAGAAAGAGACATTCACACAAACACCTCGGCTGACGTGTTGAAGGTCATAGAACATCCCCGAGCTGTCAAACAGCTCGTTTGAAGTACAGAGAAAGGGCTTAAAGCCACACACACACCGAAACAACCCACACACACAGGTCAAAATGAAGACACAAGCACAAATCTCTCTCACAGCGGAACGCACGCATCATTTCCGACGCAGTTAGCCGAGTGCACTTTTTGTATGATACTGTAAACTTAAAGGAAGTGTTGAAAGCACATTTTGAAAGAGCTAAAAGGAAGAAAAGTAAAAAAAAATGTTGATGCTGGATGATTCAGTTGTACTTATCCTCATGGTCTGGGATGCTATGATGATGAGATTTCGTCTCTTGCATGCCTGTGTTTGCTTTAATCAGGCACCAGGAAGAAGAAGGAACTATTTTTATAGTACACTTGTCACAAGTGATCGGTGCCAATTTGTTTGTTTTCTCCATTTGTTTGTTTTGCTCTGGTTTGCTATGTTTTGTAAGGAGTATTTATGTATGAAAAAGACAAAAAAAACACTTTTAACGTGCTCACCCTGTTTTGGAGGGGATTGTGGTAACTACTTAGTACAAAGTACAAAGAATGACTATCCGCTGAAGGCATAGACTCTGAAGCCTTACGTTTTTACATTTCTAATGCCACAATGTGAGACACTCTCATATTTATGGAAGCTTATTTCTTCTACAAGATAAAACAAAATTTAAAAGGTAATTGCGACTTTTTATCTTACAATTTTTACAATTCTGATTCGGACAATTTTTCTCAGAATTGTGAGTTTATATGAGTTTATATCTTGAAATTCAGAGTGTTTTTCTCGCAATTCTGAGTTTATATCTGACAATTCAGATTTTTTTCTCGTAATTCTAAATTTATATCTTGCAATTCAGATTTTTTTCTTGCAATTCTGAGTTAATATCTTGCAATTCAGATTTTTTTCTTGTAATTCTAAATTTATATCTTGCAATTCAGATTTTTTTCTTGCAATTCTGAGTTAATATCTTGCAATTCAGATTTTTTTCCCTCAGAATTGGCTATTTATATCTTGCATTTTCAAGTTTATATCTTGCAATTCTGAGTTTATATCTCACAATTCAGATTTTTTTTCTTGCAATTCTGAGTTTATATCTGACAATTCAGATTTTTCTTGTAATTCTACATTTATATCTTGCAATTCTGATTTTTTTTCTTGTAATTCTAAATTTATATCTCGCAATTCTGATTTTTTCTTGTAATTCTAAATTTATATCTCGCAATTCTGATTTTTTTTTTGTAATTCTAAATTTATATCTTGCAATTCAGGTTTTTTTTCTTGTAATTCTAAATTTATATCTTGCAATTCAGAATTTTCTCTTGTAATTCTTAATGTATATCTTGCAATTCAGATTTTTTTCTTGTAATTTTAAATTTATATCTTGCAATTCAGATTTTGTTTTCTTGTAATTCTAAATGTATATCTCGCAATTCAGGTTTTTTTCTTGTAATTCTAAATGTATATCTTGCAATTCAGATTTTTTTTCTTGTAATTCTAAATTTATATCTCGCAATTCAGATTTTTTTCTCGCAATTATAATATATCTTGCAATTCAGATTTTTGCTTGAAAATCTAAATTTATATCTCGCAATTCTGATTTTTTTTCTTGCAATTCTGAGATATCTTGCTATTCTGATTTTTTTCCCTCAGAATTGGCAATTTATATCCTGCATTTGCAAGTTTATATCTTGCAATGCTGAGTTTATATCTCGATTCTGGTTTTTTTCTTAGAATTGTGAGCTTATGTCACAATTATATCTCACGTTTTTTCTCGCAATTCTGAGTTTATATCTCACAATTCAGATTTTTTTCTTGCAATTCTGAGTTTATATATCGCAGTTCTAAGTTTATATCTCTCAACTGTGATTTATATCTCTCAATTCTGAGTTTTTTTTGTTTGTTTGTTTGTTTTGCAATTCTGAGTTTATATCTCGCAATTCTTCAATTAGTTTATACCTAGCAAATAGTTTATATCTCACAATTCAGACTTTTAATTCAGAATTTTTTCTCGCAATTCTGAGGAAAAAGAGCAGAATTGTGAGGGAAAAAGTCTGAATTGTGAGTTATAAACTAATTGTGAGAGAAAAGTTGTAAGTTAAAGTTAGAATTGTAAGGCTAAAGAGTCACAATTTCCTTTTATAATTCCATGGTGGAATTAAATAAAAAATAGCCTAAGCTTCCATACATATCTGATGTCACTTCCTGTGCAATCGGCATGGATACCGCGTCCAATAATGATACATTTGCAAGGTTGTGATAATGTTTGTGAAAGTCAATGCCTGTGTTGTATGAGAAGAAAATGTGCTTTTTAATGATTATATTGCAAAAACTCAAAGTGAAACAGAGAAGGACGTCAACAAGTCTTTGTATTTATGTATAGCTATTTTTTGGCAGAGGGACTCATCATTGATGTTAAACCCCTTCAGCTCAAACATTTACGACTTATTATTGATTATTCATAGAGTTTTTTAAAAAGTGGACAAAACAAATGTTTTCAATATTTAACAATTGATTGCATGTGTTTTCATTTATTATTGTAAAGAAACATACAATATTATTTTTTGAAACATAACGTATGCTCACAATAGAAATACAAATCTATCAGTGTAAACCCACAGTCGAGCTGTTAGTAAACTCTTGATGGCATATTTCAATAACAAATAAGCTGATATAACATACATTTTGATTAAATGTTTTGTCCCATTTTACAAGCTGAAATTTGTCCATTTACAGCTGTCACTTGATTGCGCTCATATATCCTGTTTTCTGCTTATTGAATGTGTTCAGTATGTGCTGTAGGCTGTCTGTACTGAGCGGCTTTTCATTTGCAGCAGTAGTCTTGTGATGCCATCGGTCAGATGACGAAGCCGAAAGGAGAAACTCTGATTGTTTAGCATGTGGAGGTTTCAACGCTGCACTTTGAGCATTTTTCTCTTAGCTTCTATAATCGCTTCTCTCTTACAAACGCACAGATTTGCCTTTCAGACTCTTGGTTTTGTAATAAAGAACACTTGTACCTGAAGGACACTTTGTTGTGTGTGACTGTATTTGTGCATCGTGTAGTAAGACATCAGAGGTCATGGGCCGAGAGAGTATTTTTAGTGTAACCTTCACTCAGTCTGGTGTGTAAACAAATGAATCATTTTTACTAATATTTAGTATTATTTTTGGTCTGTTTTCTCTGGATTGTTTGGTTTAGCATTTATTCATTTCGATACCAAACACAAAGGAAGTGAAGGCAAGAATACAGAGATTCGGAGGAGCAAGACAGAGACTTAAGACGATGCTTTTAATATGCCACATATCTTATTAACATGAATTTAATGAAGATAATAAATGCATCACATGTTAAGCGTGTATACATTTGGCCTTACATACAAAAATATATGCACTAAAATGTTTTGACATGCGTCGATGAATGATAAATAATTGAGCACAAATAAACAAGTGAATAATGTACAATAAATAGATACCGTTTACAAATAAACTGTAAATTACTACCTAAATTTGTTTTTTATTTTAACTGATTTTCATTCTGGTCAATAGAATCAACAGGAATTCTATTTAAATATAAGGGTCATTCTATAATTTAGTGTACATTTCATTTCCATTGATGATAATTCTACTTTTTTTCTAACAATTTTCATAAATATCATATTTTATCCATTATGAGAATGCATAGTATAATCTCAATCATATATTTTGTATACCCTGTTTTTCAATTTGCTCTCGCCACATTACATAAAGCTTAATTTTGCCTTTATGTCCCTTAAATTACAATTTTTGCAATGTTCACTTTTTGAATTGAGTGGGTCTTGAGTTCAAAATAATGAATAAGAAAAGGTTAAAAGACTATCTATATTCCATATCTATAAAAAACATTTCTATAATTCAAATACCTAAGAAAAATAAACATTTCGAACACATTATGGTAAATGTCCTCTTAATTGTTTCTATATTTGATCTTCAGTGACCTATAACCCTTAGTTAATTTACTGAGAAAGAGTATTGTTTTTCCTGACATGAATTGTATCTGAAATTATAGAGTGAAAGTTATAGAATGAATCATATATTATATATATATTCTCCTTCATAAAGCCCTGTTCACACCAAGAACGATATCTATAAAGATAACGATATTAGAGTCCACACCAGCAAACGATATCGTCTGTTTATTCCAAGCGCACGTGCGTCTGCCGCTTTAAATTCTTGAGCTCGTTACAGCAGGATGAATTCTGATTGGCTGTCAATGTTTGTATCGTTCATCAGCTGGAAAAAATCGTTCTGGAAGTGATTCCAACGATATCGTTTCTCTGTGCCTTTATCGTTATAGTTGTGGTGTGGACTCTGCTATTCTTTAATATTGAGAACGATGTTTAGAACTATATCTTTATCGTTATCTTTA